CACACTTAATTCTAAATAGCCTGCATTTAAGAAAATTTTGTCGGGTGTACAACTCCGACTTTGACCGGAATTCAGGCAAGCGATTATCGATTCCCTTATTAACGAAGGACTAATTACAGGCGCCTCTAAGCAGTCTTCTGACGTCACATGCCGGTAAAAATGCTTGTCAAATTTACACCATTCCTGAAGTTTGGAACACAAATTTGTAAGGAAATGCAAAAAATAGCTACGTGACGCATAGAGCCAATCAATACGCGTCTGAATTCCTGTCTGACTCGAAATAGTCTTCGTCCAACAATGCTTGTCTGAATCCATTGAAGCACGTTTCTCTTCCTATTGGAACATATTTTCTTCGATAATGTATTTTAGTTTTAATTGTTCTTGTTCCCAATCCTTGACGGGTGCCCAAGCAAGGAGATTAAAATGCCGGGGCGCTTCCTGTCTAAATAATACACGATAATTAGATTTACTATAAAACCTCGTTAAAAGCTTTTGTTGGAGCTATGACTGGGGCACAGATTTTACGCCCTTAAATTGCATATGAGGTTGTATTAAAAGTTCGATAACACTTGATAAAAACCGCGACAGGGATTACATGTCAATGTCTGCAATTAATTATAGTTAGGGGGTGATAAGAAGAATCTGAGGTGAGAAAGAAGGTTCTCGTTCCTTTTGTGACATCATGCACCTGATGTCAGGTCAGACCACCTGTAAATAAAGAGTTTGGTTGATTATTTTTCTTCTATCCTTGCGAAGAGTTGTTCTTAACTTCAGGAATAGTTAAAATTTTATTAGTTTTTTTCTTAATGCTTGAGACTTTAAAGGACTACTCTAAGATGCCTATTTTCAGTCCTCGTGTTGTTGTTGTTGACGTATGCCTGTTTAGGCAGACGGGGTGCAATTGCTCTTGTTTTACAGTGGTGCCATCTATGGTGAGGAATTCGACTTCTGCCACACCATTTGTCACATACGTTTATAGGGCGGACCTATTCATACATCCATTCATTCATCCACAGATCGTAATTTTGACCTGAATCAGAGAACGTTCGATCTCCAATCCAGTACTCCCAGAGGTTTTGATTTGTTATGGGAACATGGAGGACTTTTGCGACTCGACAGATTTAGCATGCATCAGTCACTTTACTACACGGGGAGTTTTCGGTCATCAGGGTTCGAACCCACGAACTCTCAGACATGGGCCCAGCGCCTTACCGACCAGGCTATCCCAGCCCTCGTGTAAATGGACTGTAAGACTAAGATTAAGGCGGGTGATGATAGGCTGTAAATTTTCCAAGTTGTGCCCCTTTCTTGTAGGCTGGACAAAATGCTAGGTAAAGTGAGACCCAAAAACCATTAATATTGTGTTTAGATCGATATTTAGATTAAAAGTTATTCAGGATGCTTGTTTTTTTTTTCCTTGCACTATACCAATCAATATAAAAATAAAAACTATTGAAAAATACCAATAAACAGAAAGAATGAATACAGATAAATTATTAAAGCATTCTTTTAAAAGATACTTCTTCTTGATTATGGATGGTTGACCCTGTAAAGCTAAGCGCAGATAGCGCTGAGAGTTAAAATTCATCGTAAGACTTCCGCAATACTACTTCCGATTGATTTTAACGCCTAAGCTTGTATAAATGCACCATCCATGCATTTAGGAAGTTTGTTGTTTTCTTGTTTACAATCCATAGCTATTTGAAATTTCGCATTTTACGTCTGCGCAGTGCAATTTGATTCCGGGAGAATTAGAGGAATTTGAGGAGCTACAATGAAGTCCAATGCCAATGCGCACAATTTTCACACATGCAAAAAAGAAAGAACAAAACGCTTGCGAATGAGAACCGGATTGATGGTTATAGTTGTAGTTCATTTACGTCGTACTAGAGCTGCACAATGGACTGTAGGCGACGGTCTGGGAAACATCCTTGAGGATGATCCGAAAACATGCCATCAGAAATTTGATCCTCTGCAGAAGGGATGACAACTCCGCTTCGGTAGCCCGACTACCTGCACGTGAAGTCGATCACTTTACGGTAGAACAGTTTGACGAGGAGCAATACCGCACACCCTAGATCCCTACGCAGACTGATCCAAGTGGTCACCCACCCGCTCACTGACCGTATAGCCAGTGATGCTTGACTTTGGTGATCTGCTGGGAACCGTGTCTTAACGATCAGTCCACTGCGGGACGTTAATTTTTCTATCATGGATCTTAATTCTTTTATTTTATCGGAAGAGAACAGTCTTATCGCGCTAACCATGTTTACAAGTTCAGTTGCAGCGAAGATTTGTTGTTGTAGGTAATTTACGTCGCACTAGAGCTGCAGAATGGGCTATTGGCGACGGTCTGGGAAACATCCCTGAGGATGATCTGAAGACATGCCATCACAATTTTGATCCTCTGCAGAAGGGATGGCACACCTGCTTCGGTAGCCCAACGACCTGCGCGATAGAACAGTTCAACGAGAACCAATGCCGCACACCCTCGGCCCCTACGCAGACTGATCCAAGTGGTCACCCACCCGCACACTGACCGTATAGCCAGTGATGCTTGACTTCGGTAATCTGCTGGGAACCGTGTCTTAACGATCAGTCCACTGCGGGACACCGGATTGATGGGAAATATTTATCCACAGAAAATTCACCAATCAGGCTCTTGTTTGAATGTGATCTTTTTTCGAATGCGAAAAAAAAATCACATCCAGTGGGGCTGGCTTTTTGGTGTTACGTATACGTATTGATCGATCGAGATGCATTAAAAATAGCCCCGTAGAGTCAATTCCCGTTACCTGAGTTCTAGTATGCTATGAGCAATTTTGGCATGCACCAGTATTATCTTTAGCACATCAAGGATGAATACAGTTTGGGATAATTCTCATTCCATATGATTTTTCTGCACAGGCGTGCGAATCTTACGAATTTAAAAGAAACCAGAGAGCAAATGCAACAATCTCATGTGATGGAACATTGAGTGAATACCGGAGTGCTCGATGCAAATGCATTGTACAAGGGGATATTCTCACGTAGAGTCGTTCGTTGCTCTAATAAGATTTAATAAGAACACTCCTTTATTATTCAGAAGGCAAGTTGTCAGGAAATTTTTTCCCCTAAGAAATTCGCTTCAATCAACCTGGTTGCACTTGCAGTTTATTTACGTCGCACTAAAGTTACACAATGGGCTATTGGCAACGGTCTGGGAAACATCCCTGAGGATCATCTGAAGACATGCCATCACAATGTTGAAGGGATGCATTAAAAGGATTGGGTGTGCTTTATGAATCAATAAAATTGAGTAGTCTGATGCTGGATAAACTTATTGACTAGTATTAAATAAGAATTAGAAAAGTTCCTTTAAGTTTATAAAGCTAGAATTAAATCATCAATTACTGATTCCTTGTACTCGTAATTAAATTAGCAAATAACTAAATCAACATAGCAAAAGTATTATCCAGGAACAAACACCTGAAAGAATATAATTATCAAATCAATCAAGGGCAAAGATTAGAATAATTACTATTAAATTTCGACCTACAGTACCAGCATTAAAATTAATATTCCTTTCCTTTAATCTGAATACGTTTATATAGTATGTGATACGCTAATTGGTAAGCACATTACTAAGCAATTGAATAACCCCATTTAGAATTACAAGAAAGGTATAAAAAATAAACTAAAGATGGATGAGTTGAACAGAACTATAAATAAGAACTATATATAAGAGATAAATGACAAAAACTCGACAAATTTTTTATTAGAAATGATACTTTATGTGATGGTCAAAAACCATCTGACCCACAAATCAATATATGTATATCATTAGCATATCGTTAGATAGTACGTGCTTCCTTTGAGACATCTAATCACACATCACTATAATTTTATATTATAACACTACTTATCGATTCTTAGGAATCGGTTGAAATGGATAAAGTTGCACACCATCTGCTTTTAAAAATTGTTTTCTCGATATCTTTTTGTCCCGCAGTGGACTGATCGTTAAGACACGGCTCTCAGCAGATCACCGAAGTCAAGTATCACTGGCTGCGGTCAGTGTGCGGGTGAGTGACCTTTTGGATCAGTCTGCGTAGGGACCGAGGGTGTGTGGTATTGGTCCTCGTTTAACTGTTCTACCATAAAGTGCTCGACTTCACGTGCAGGTCGTCAGGCTACCGAAGCGGGGGTGCCATCCCCTCTTCAGAGGATCAAAATTGTGATGGCATGTCGTCGGATCATCCTCAAGGATGTTTCCCAGACCGTCGCCAATAACCCATTGTGCTGCTCTAGTGCGACGTAAATGAACTACTACTACTACTACTCGACATCTTTTTTGAGAGAATAACATATTGGCTCACTCTTTCATATTAACATCAGAACTGCAGCAGCACGTCTACCCTGTCGGAAGGGGGGAGAGAGACTCTCCACTCCAAGTCATAGTTTAAGTCCAGGAAAAAAGTTTGTTGCCGATCGTTAAAAAGACAGTTTGCTGCGGGTGAAAAAGCAGTTTACACTTATAACTTCTTTCGTACTAGTGTGGGCTTTGGATGTTTATTTTTTAGAGCCTTTCCCCCAAGTGTTCATTCATGCATAAGATGTTAAATATAGTTTGACAGGATGGTACCTCTCCTTCGGTTATCCAACGACCTGCTCGTGAAGTCGTGTACTTTTTGGTAGAACAGTCAATGAACCCAGAAGCAATGAGATGGCCCCTAATTAACGCAACTCTAATGCGATGTTAAGAACCAAACTATATCCTGTATTTATAATTGGCTGGTCAAAAATGTATTTTGCAGTGATAATATAACTGAAAAATCTATAAACATATGTTTCTTTCTATACGAGAAGACATTTGTGAGTCTCTTACATTATGAACAATAAATTTTCAGCAATGGTAAATTTAAAATTGCCAAAAAAGTCATGTTTTAATAAAAGGTTTTATTAGCAGATGTGGTATGACTAAAAACAACAACAGAAAACAAAAACTACTGCAACATTTTTGACATGAATCGCGGTATGGCAACAGTCAATGGAATGCTGTTTGTATTCTATGGTATGTAGTTATTGGTAGGAGCATTAGCGGACGTATATAATAGCCAAGGTTAGTGGAAACATTGTCGTTTTGAGGAACAGTACATAGTTTAAATTTAAATAACTAATATTAACATTAAATCTAATCCTACCAATGTATTAAAAATTTGCTGATTTCATCAAAAAATTAACATGATTCTCTCCGTGATCTGTTCTTGAGGTAAGTGACCAATCATTGCGATTTCAATCTGAGGCAACATTCCTTATGTAGGATGACATTTTATGATTATAATCAAGGTTGCTTTAAATACATTTGAAATTTTTTATCTTTTTTAGTAGCAACATAATCGTTGTCACGATTTACATTTGTTGTCAAATTACAAATCATGATCTTTGTTCTTAGGCACCTTAAGTGCCACAAAGAGACTATGTTTACGTATTGTTTGTGTTTTGTATCTCTATTATGATTTTGTGAAATGTAAACATTATTTTTATGCAAAACATACCAAAAATTGATGAAATGAGATATTTTTAGGTTTTGTCCAGTGTTAAAAGACCTTTATTTTGTGCAAACTGTTTGTATGTTTACATTAATTTTGACATTACCAACCTGAGTATTTATATGATTTGATAATGGTATTGTACTTCGTTAATATTTTAACTGATTCAGCTTTGCTAAAATTAACTTCTATTTTCAACTGTTTTAAATGTATTCCAATCAGTTTGACAATTATTATAATAATTATGAATCTGCTTAAAGTTAAGTTTAAAGATATTTGTATATTAAGAGTTTTAGAAATATACACAACATTTTATTTATTTTGTAATATTTCAGTCTAATCCATTGTTAACTTTTTTCTTTTATTCATATTATTCAAACTTCTCTTTGTGTTATAGAAGAGATGTAGCTTTAATATCTATGTTGCAAAAAAAAATTTTTTTTTTTTTATTGTAATGGAAACAGTTTGTAACTGATTGTCTGAACAGTTTATTAGTACTCTGTCAACATTTGCATAAATTAAGATTATGTGTTTGTTCCTAGTCCTGGAAAATTCAATACATTAATCTCTCTGTTCTTTACTAAGTGGAGAATATAACTTAAAGCTAATTAAATAAATTCATGTTACTTCATACTACATTTTGTAAACAACATTAATTGTTATTGAAACATAAGTTTTAAAAGTGTTTATTTTTAGATATTTTGAAATTTCTATGATTTAAAATTAAGTACCCTAACAAGCTAATATTTATTTCGATGTGTGATTTTTTCATATCTTATTTTATTATGTTGCTTCAAACATTATGAAAACTAGACTTGTTATTATAATTCTTCAGTTATTATCAAAAATATTTAAATTTAAAAAGTAATATGTAAGGGAATTGACCGAAGTGTAGTTATGTTCTCTTCAAACATTTAAATGTTTAACTCAATTATATTTGTATAATTGATATAAGTAGATTTTATAACAAAAAAATGTTGTTACTATTCTGGTTTAAGATAGAAGTTAAATATTAATCTATTTATTTTAACTAATTTTTACAATTTGTATTCTTTCTTTGTTTTATATTGGTAAATTAATTTTCTTTTAATTTTACAGTTAAATATGGATATACAAGTGCCTTGGATACTGCAAACTACTATTTGGATATAATGTGTTGTGTGATACATCTAATTTTTGTATTCGTTGTGCCATTATAGTGTGCTCATGCTTTTGGGAATCTCGTTATCTGAAATTATAGACATGTTGAAAGTTCAAAAATCTAGTTTTTATTTCTTACATAAATGTTTAATAATTAGATATCAACATGCGTAAAAGAAAGCCCCTTCGAGATTATTCTTTATTTTTTTCTATTCTCCTGCATCATTATCATCAGTGATGTAAGGAGAAGGCTAAAGTACATAAAAAACTTTTTATTGTAATTTGTAATACATATGATCAACCAAGAAGATAATCGTACAAAATCAAAATTTCTTCCTTTAAATCAGAATGTCGTCAATAGCAATAATATTCCTTATATTGACAATATGCCGTCGATGATTCGCGATAGCGCGGGTCATCCACGAAGAGATGTAGGAACCCCAGTTTCTTGTGCGCGTGTTACGACTGAATTAGGCGTTTCGGTAGCATCTGCTGTTTATTCTGTCGCAGCCACTTCTGTTAAAAGAGCAGAGTCTTTACATCGAAAAGGAGAGTGTGTAAATGGTGCTGCACCACCACCACCTGGTGCACCTAATGGCACTGGAACGTCTAGTTCTGTAAAATCTTCGCGTGATGGATATCGTGAAAAAGCTTTAGAAGAAATTCGAAATAGTTTAAAACCTTATGCCACATCTGATCCTCACGGAGAGGGTATTTATGAATTCAGCAGCGCTAGTAGTAGCGCTAGTGAAAGTAGTGGTGCAAGTCAAGTCACAAATAATTGGAGCTCACTACTTCCTAATTCAAATGGATTCAATGTACAAAAAGCTTTTCAGCATTTGCTAGCTTTGGGTCATAGTGAGGTAAGTTTATTTAATACTTGTGGAAATATTTCAAATATGTTTATTTTTTAATTGTTTTGTTTCTGGTTTTTAAGTAAGTTTTTTTTAAAATTAAAATAATAAAGGTAAAAACATTGTTTTATATGTTCTGTTGATCGTGACTAGTATGAAATAAATTTTTATCTGTGGTCTTGGTCTATGCTCTAATCTTCTGGCAGTTGGAATGTTTTTGATAAAATTCTGATTACTAACTAAAAGGTGTTCTTTATTTATTTATTTTTTTTTTTTAAAAAAAGACAACCTAAGGTTTAGTTTTGAAGTGAGTGTGTTCAAGCTGAGTTAAAAATTTTTTAGCTGTTATGAATTTTTATGAAAAAAGTGTTTACTGGAGAAGTGGGTGGCTTATATAGTATTTTTATCCTCCTATTAAAATATCATTTATATAGTGGCTAGTGCAACAACTTGCTTTTTAGATTACAGAGATGCACATTTTATGGTGAAAGACACCATGCTTTCTACTTTTCTAGAATGTTTTTTTTTTTTTTTTTTCATTATGTACTCTACCATCCACTGAGGTAAACAAAGCCTTATAAATCAATTGACAATGTTAGAAACTGTGATTGTTTTTAAAATAAATAAAAAGTAATTCTCATCAATAAAGAGGACAGATATGTTCAGTGCTTTATAAGAACAAAGAAAATTAAAATTAAATGAACAAAAATATACAAATGTCTTGGTCTTAATGTTCTATATCAAGTATTGCATCAAGTTCAATTTTCCACTAAATCGGAAAGAAGGTTTAAAATTGATATTAAAAATAACACTTTAGTTTTTTTAAGATTTGTTTAATTTTTCTTAACAGCCTCAAAACAAAACATTTGAATTTTTGCTTTTAAAAGGGTTTAGAGATGTATGATAAATTAGTAATGGCTTAGTGAATGGTACTGATAACAATGCTTTTCTAATACACGTGATTTTGATGCATCATTTTATGTAAAGGGGAATGAATTTTTTCTAATATTTTAAGATTTCAATAAGAATAAATTTTATTTTTAAATTAAATGGGTTGTGTTGTTTAATTTAAAGGATGCCAATGAATCAACAACATTACTACTAAATTTTTGTTTTGATTGATAAATTTAAAAAATTTATTATTTTCTTTGATAAAATAATATCCACAACTCAAAATCGTAATCTTTTAATATGAGATTTTTTTAAATATGTTTACAAAAAATGAAAGGAAATATTGGGAATAATTGAGCCTAAAATAAAAATGGAAAGTAGCCATTTTAAGATGTCGTGACAAATTGCCAAAATATTATTGAATTCCCGAGGATCGAACCCAGGACCTGTGGCACGGGAGAGTGAAGCGCTACCACTCAGCAACCGGGCATCTTATTTAAATATTACATAGCCATACATACAATATTACATAACCATATTATTTATTTCCTGATTCTCTCTTGTCTGCAAGAACAGAAAAAATCTTACCTATGCTTCTGTAAGAAAGTCGTAACTTTCTTTTATTTTTACTCTAGTAATTTAATTTTAGGATTAAACTCAAATAAAAAAGGTAATTTATACTAAAATAATAGTGTTATAAAAATTTGGAACTCCTTGAAAAAAATTTTTTTGACCTTTTTATTTCTGCAAACGTAGCTTTTATTCTACATTTGAAATTTTTCTGAAACTGTTTTGTTATTTGTATTTTTATTTTTTCTAACCATTTGAAAACAAGGGAGTTTTAATGTTTTATGTAAGCATTACTCAGTCCTCTCCTTGTCAACAAAAGCTAATAATCACAAGCTCCTTCTAGTGGGTCAGATTTCTTAAATCAGTGAACAAATGCTGTAAACACACAAGAAAAGACTGCTTTTTTTAAATGAAAAAAAGCTAAAGTAAATAAAACTGATGCATCTTGATAGTTGATCAGCTTACAGACAAATATTGTAAGCAAAAGCCTAGTGAGAACCTATCGCATACAGACTGTGAAAAATATTTCTGAAGGATATAGAATAGTTTTGGCTAGGTTATTCGCTTTACTATTACATATGCACTTTCCGAGCCTGACACCTCACTGAACACTTTGGAAAATCTATGGATTTCTAACTTTCCAATTGTTAATGGTTGTGTGCAACTTAATTTAATATTTTTTGGTGTTTCTCTTACATATACCATTTTTCAATTGACAATCATTAATTTTTGCTTGAAATAAATATTCTAAATTATGAATTTAAATATATGCACAGATTTGAAGCAAAGCAATTTAAATGAGTTTATGACACGTAAGAGTAAAATATTTTACATTATTTTTAGATTAGCGATAGAATGTTAAAAATTCAATCTTTAAATAAAATAAGTTAACAAAATTATTAAAAAAATTTGATTAGTTGAAACAGAATAGAGTAACTGGTGCATAATTTTATTTAATTATTTTATGCTTTTATTTTAAAATTACTATTTAACATTACTTTAATATTTTTTTTATCTAAACATTTATTATTTTGTGTAGCAGTTTGTCATACAATTAGGAATTGCTGTTGCACTCTAAGCTAATATTTATGGGATGTTCAGATTTTTTTTCAAATGCATAGAGTTGTTTAAAGTAAAATTAAAATTCGTGCACCAATATTATTTAAAAAAAATACTTTTACTTTAATAATTTTTATAAGATGGGTTGATCTCTAAATTAAAAAAATTATATTACGCAAATAAACTGTCCCTAATTTCCTAAATAAAATTTCGTAGGAAAAATTACATGTCCTGTTTTTTACAAATATATAAAAGTATGAAAGCTTGCTTCCCTTTTTAATTGGCTCACATTTTTTGTTTCACTTTTTACTGTTTGCTTCACTTAGGTTACTTATAACCGCATTTGCAAATTTTTAATTTCTGTGGGAACTCTGAAATTAGCTTATAATTTTAACTAGTAAAGCCCTTACTTGTTAAAGTACCCCTGCTCTTGGACTTATACACAGTGAAGTTATTGCAGACTTCTTGTAAAATTATCCTGTTTTTCTAAAGTTATGAAAAATCAGTTAATAATTTTGAGAATTAGTGTAAACCTCTGTGCAGTCTTTTCGTGAAAGGTCACGCTTGTGAGAATTTGTGAAAATATGCTCATTATATTCTTAATTTAAAATTGCTCTAAAATAAAGTCCTTACCACTGCTAGATTCCAGTCTCTGTCAATTTTTGAACACGCAGTTCTGTTTTTGGAGAAAAAAAATAAAAAATTACTGAAAGCATGGATTAGAAGAAGTTCATGTTTTAAAATTATGAATTGAAAACATTATAGGGTGCGTTTTTCCAAAGAAGAGTTTTGTGACGAGCCCTTTTTTAAAATATTGTGGATGGTTCGTTTTTAAGATCAAATATTTTGTGAGTGGTCCTTTATTACGATAATATTATCCGTATCCGTACTTCCGTTATGTAAAGGGTCCGATTTTGTGGTTAAGTAACTTGTATAGGGTCCGTTTTTGTCTTAGAATTTGTGAAAGATCCGTCTATAAGATAGAATATTTTGTGAAGAGTCTGTTATAGGACCCAAATTTCTCCTAAAATGACCTTGCGTAGTTATTCATTTTAATTTCTAATTAGTTCAGTACACTTTTTTAAAATAAGTGAATAAAGAAATTCAAGCTGCATAGTTTGCATACGATGAATCAAGAGAGATCTTGTGTTCAGAAAGTGTTTTTCAAATTCCATTGTTTGACTATGTACTATTTCCCCCCCTTTTTCTCCTATTAAGTTAATATTTCGATTTATTTAAATTAATAACACCATACTGAAATATTTAATTTCTTTCGTGTTTTATTAATCTAAAAAGTGCATTAATAATAATGTTGTGACCTCCCCCATGCAAAAACTTTTTCTAAATTTTGTACTGGTAAACTTACTTAAAAATTGCAACGTATGACATGTTTTTAAAATTATTTAGGTTTGAAATGGTAAAGCAGGCTTAACTAAAGTCATCTACTTCTGTTTATGTATGAAGTTTAAATGCAAACTTAAGCTCCCAACTTTAATTAAATTATGATTGTTATAAACTTATTGACATACATAAACTTATATTGTTATAAACTTATTGGATAAATATCATTCTTCAGAGAGAAAATATGGGAAAGTTTGTTCATTCGTTTTCCTGCTTAAAATTCCGTTCATTATATGCGTTTTTTTTATCTGACGTTGATTTTTCATTTTAACTTCAAATTCGTTTCAGATATATGTAAACTCTCATCTTCCAACACTGAACCATTTTTAATGTATTGACAAATGGCAAAAATAAATATTTTTGAACCTAAAATAAAAACTCTCAGAGATGGCAGTCTTTGTGACGATTTATTATAATTATTTTTTTTAAAAATTTCAGTCCTATTTTTTTAAATATCAAAAATTTATGCCATTTCAACGACCTGTCAACACTTTCCACCAAGGTCATATTTATGATTTTCGAAATTAAAGCTGCGTTTCGAGATTTTGATAAACATGTTTTTTATATAATATACACCCCTCATCATTATTTTATCACTCTTTTTCCAAAATAAAGTATGTGTCTCATAATTTTTAATATTTTTTTTTGGTTAAACGTGTTTTTGTTCGATGAGGGCCGGGTGCGTTTCTGGCATTTGGTGTGATATTGTTCGCTTGACATCCATCCTGTAGCGTGACTGAATGCATCTTAATGTTGAGGAATGCAGTTTGTATAGATAGGCGATGCCTTTCCAAGGAGGGACAAGGCATAACAGAATAGTTTTGGGGAGCCATGCGTGAAATTTCGCTACCGATGTACCATGTATTTATTTATTACCATGCTGACATTGTTGCCAATGCTTCTTTTATATTAAGTTTTTTTTTTCNGCTGGTGCACTCTAAGCTAATATTTCTGAAATGTTTAGATTTTTTTCCCAATGCATAGAGTTGTTTAAAGTAAAATTAAAATATGTGCAACAATATTATTAAAAAAAAATACTTTTACTTTAATAATTTTTATAAGATGGGTTGATTTCTAAATTAAAAAAA